TTCTTTTCCCTTCCAGGTATTTCTATCTCCATGTGCTTGCAGAGTTCCTTTATGTGTTATTTAACAATAGTCTGATTATTATTTTGCATATTACTGATTGCTTTTTAAAACCCTTTATGCCCTACAATCAGAAAGCAGTAAGGTGTTGACAGTCAAAAGCTTACTTAGTGTGTGATCATTTCCTTTATTCTTGTGACCTTAATGTGGGACTAACATGTAAGTTTGATATTGTAAGGAGAAAGAAGGTGCTAGTAACTCTTAGGGGTTAAAGTGCTGATGATCATCTGAATGGTTTTCTAAGTGACCTGAGACTTGTCTATCCTGATGAGCTGGAGGACACCTTGAAACGCTCCTCTTCTCTCTTTTTGTAGCATTGTTTAATCCTTACTGGATGCAAATTACAGTGTACTAACAATAATTTGTCTTGACTGTCATAGGTATCATGGAGTCCAGACAGCAACTTTGTTCTCAGTGCCTCAGCAGACAAGACTGCAAAAATATGGGACATAGCTGCTAACACTGCTTCTGTGTAAGACATTCTAAAGCAGTTCTCCCCACAGTTATGTGCATAGTAGATCCATCAAATTTTGTTTGCTAGTGAAAAATACAAATTTGTATATTAGGTAACAACACGATTATGAGTGCAATTTGGTGTCAGTAAGCATGAGTATATTTTTAAGAGACTACAAAATTTTACAAACCCGTAGGGCAAGTGAAATTTTTTAGTCTTTGAAAAATTTACAAGTGCATATTTACACACACATTATTACTTGTTAATGATTTACATGAAAAACATCAGAGAAAGTCAAAGATGGATGAAATTTTGGCAGCGCACACTATTTGTAATTTGCAATTGTGTTACAACTTTGCATTCGTGTTACATGAAAAATGCACTCGTTTTCAGCCAATCAGACACGCATTATCTTTTCTTGTATATTATTAGTATAGTCTGTGATAATATCTTCTTGCTCAAGAGTAGTGATTCTCCATGAATAATATACATACTCTTGAAAAAGCAAGGATGTCGAAATTTGAAGTTGACCCTCACCCTCCAGTCCAGTCTTAATTATTTCCCAGAAGTGATGGAAAAAGTAGATTAAAATTCCGCTGTTTTGGCTTTAAACGTGTCTCATTATTAACCAAAAATTTTCAATGTGACCCTTTAAGAAGAGAAAAATTTGGTTTAGATTGGAATCACCATTTCAGTTAAAAAAAAAAAAATTGGTTCAGATTGGAATCACCATTTTTGATTTGTTTGTTTTCTGTTAGTGAGTTTACATTTGGCACAGACCTTGACCACCAACAACTTGGCTGCTTGTGGCAGGGAGATTACCTCCTTACTGTTGCTCTCACTGGAAATATCAACTATTTGGATAAGAACAATCCTTCCTCCCCAAGCAGAATTATTAAGGTATGCAGTTTACATGTGTAAACCACTGAGAGTACCCTCTCACACCTACGGTTAGCAATTATTGGGTGAGGTTGAGCACGGTATCATGAATTATCAATGCCGAGGTCTGTGTTATCTTCCGAAGCCTTCGGCTTTGGCAGATACCACAGACGCAAAGTTTCATTGATAATTTATGATATCATGCGAAATCCGAATTCATTAATTGTTTTATTAACCTTTTTTAAACATTCTGCAAAAGAAGACACTTCTCTCTGAGATTGCTGAAGTTTAAGAACACTACACAGCCGAGGGGCTTGGAAACTAGGAAAACTTTGAACTTGACATGATAACCCAATATCTACTGCAATTATTGGGTATATATTTATATATATATCATGTCAACTTTACACGCTATTGTAAATTGACTGTATGCTCGCGGCCTATCAGAGGGTCATAGGAAGACTAATGTGTAATTATTCCACTTGTGTGTACCACCGCTTTACATGCATATGTAGTCTGTTTTGTTTCAAAAAGGTTACGCAATAGTTAAGCAATGATTTAACCCTTAAACTCTCACGATCCAATTGGTCGTTCTCGCTGCCTACTGTCACACATTTCCGTGTAGATTAGACTGGAGAATTCATTTTAAATCAAGATAACACTCTGTACAGTCAATTCTCATTGTTGCGGACAGCCTCGGGGGGAGATCTAGTGTCCGCAATAGCGAGACTCCGTAATAGCGGGGTATGAGAGAAAATAAATCGGTTCGTCTCTAAACATTTGAAATGGTATATAAGTAACCAAACGGAAAAAAAACCAGCCACAAGCAGGAAATTTTCATGTTCGCACCCAATTGAAGAATGGTTTCTTTATTTTCCTCTCTCGTGATGTCGCTTTTTATTATGTGATTCAGGATTTTGAACGAAGTGTCCGCTATAGTGAGAGAAAAAAACAAGGGAAATGTCGCGCTGGGGGGCCTGCAAGTGTCCACATTTCCGTAATAGCGACTGAGTCCGTAATAACGGGAGTTTATTTCAGTCACATGCCGGGGTGTCTGTAATAGCGTCGTGTCCGCCGGGCGACGGTCGACTGAAACTGGAAAGTAATTCTGTTCTCATGACCTGATTGCAAAGTAGTACAATGGAAGTGTGATGAGAAGTTACTACTTAATTACTTGTAGAAGTTCGAGGGTAGATAGCGAGCGAAAAAGATAGGATTGACACTTAGTGTGGTCCTGCTGTGTTGAGGTGAATTTCAAGTATTGAACCTTCGACTAACTTGCAACTCTTAACGCAGTAACTCTCAAAAGTGATTAGCATATAACTTCTCCCTAGAATATCCTTACATTATTCAGCAAGTAGGTAATGAGAATACTCGAACCTATTCGGTAGGAGGTGTTATCTTGTTTTAACACCAAACTCTTGTAACTGATTTACAACGCGTTGTGTAGCAGCTGGAGGAGAGAAATTAAAAATCAAATCTTGGGCTTTTAAGGGTTAAATTGAGTGCATTTGGAAATTGTGTGATTGAGATGACAGGTTTTATATGCAGAGCTGTCATTTAAATGTTCCCGTTTTGATTTTTGTCTTGATACTTCATCTTTACTGCTTTTCCAATCAGGGCCACAACAAGAACATTTTGTCCGTTGCTTCTTCTGAAGATGGCTCTACTCTGTACACTGGAAGTTTCGACTCACGAATTTGTATCCTCTCAAGTACAATGTCTTATGCATTCACAAAACATGTGAAATTCTTGGAGTCCTTCAAGCTTCATCTACATGTATGAGTTTCTATGTAGAAAGATACTAGGTTACTTTAAGGAGGTCGTGTAACTGCCAACAAACTTTGTTTTGTGGAGCTCGTTGCCCCTTTAAATGCTTTTTTGCCCTTACACAAAGCAGAGTTTCGTTGCTTTACTTGATTCTCATCCGCAGGTTAAAATAAATGTATCTCGCGAGAAGTTGTGGTGTACCTCTGTTGTAAAACTTAACACGCTTCAGGTCAATGGGATGTGAAATCTGGAAATGCTGAGACATTCAAAGGCAAAGGTCACACAAATCAAATATCAGACATGGTTTTGTGTGCAGATAAGTTAGCCACCTGCAGTATGGACGACACCGTCAGATTCACGTCCCTGAAGACTCTGGAATATGGGTTAGTGGAGTAACACCTCATTTAATGATGCAAGCCCATTGTTAAGGCTCTAAAAAGCCTCTGTAGGTTGATAAATTCCCATGGCTTCCAGACAGAAGATGATCGGAGAGAGAAGGAGAGGGGGAATGGGGCAAAGTGAGAGGCATAATATCAGTCGATTTTTTTTTCCATTTGCCCAGTCGTCCAGCTTTGGTGCATATTTTTTTAAAGAATGAATTTCGCTGATTTTAAAAAACACTTCATCCTTTAAAACAGAAACCAAGACTGTTTTGGCTTACAAATGCAATTGCATTTTGTGCTGAAACGCTACAGTAGTTAGCCCGAGTCCATTAACAGTACTACGGTGTAACAATTTCCTCAGCGAATTCACGGCATTATTATTTTGTCCCGTGTTTTAATTTAGGGTTGGAAGAAGGATGTGTTGGTTATAAGATAAGGGGGCTTACATGAGGCTTCAAGCTCAACTATTGAAATCAATCAGATGGAAAGCAGGTCACATGGCACCCAGGGACACTATATAGAAACTGCATTTAACCTCCTAACTCGCAAATCAAATTTGTAATTCTACTTACTGTCAGCTATACAATTCTTATAATGTTAGTTCAGAGAATTTAGTATTAGATTAACTAACTATCCCCAAATTGATATTTTTCTTTATTCTCATCACTTATCTGGTTGAAATTGTATTTATATTGTATGGATAATTTTCTCTTGGTAACTCACGGGAGTTAAAGGGTTAAACCTCATTGCTGCGTTTCAATTTATTTTGATTTTTTACTGATTTTTTGTATTTTTCCCGTCAGGTCTGAAAGTACAGGAATGCAAAGTCAGCCGAACGGCCTCGACTGTGGGAAAGATGGTCTCACTGTTGTGGCTTGTTTGAAAGAGGTAAGTTTAAAATAGAATTGTTGCAGCTAACCCGAGGTTGTTTGTGTTGCATTACCTTACCTCGCTCTCGCACTAACTAAAACCCAGTGCGACTTCATTACCCTTGTGTTGCTGCGCTCTTATGTTAAAAATTAAACTGTTTTCTAACAATGTTTACCTTGGTCTGATTGGTCAGTGCAATTACTTTGCGTTTGGTTTGAGCAGTTCCCCCTGTTTGGCGAAGTCCTTCGTGCGAGCAAGAGCCAATTGATATAAAACAAACAAACAAACAAAAAACAAACAAAAGATGATGTTAACGCGCCGTGCGAAACTGTGGGAGGGAGGCATGCAAACATCAATTTTGATTTTCGCTGCTTTTTTTTTTTTTTTGAAAGAACTGATCGTAGTTTACGAACCTTTTGATGGCAACGTTGTTTTCATGGGGTCCTAGCAAACAGTTTTGCGATGCTTATTGCTCCACAAACGCATTAATTTCATAGTCCTTCCACTTACTATCTAAGGTTTCCTTCTAACAGATTGCAGTGTTACGAGATGGAAACGTTGTGCATTCTCATCCTGTGGACTATGAACCTCAGTGCGTTGCTATCCACCCTGGGCAGACAGAGGTTGCAGTAGGAGGAAAAACGGTACGGCTTAGTCGTGGAGTAACGTGTTTGGATGCCATTCTGATCGCGCAGCAAGGCTTCAAAAACAAAATTTTACATACTCGCTATTTGGGGACCAAAGTCATAAAATGGCTATAGTTTTTGGAGGGTCACCCCGGCGATATCTCAGTGATTAGTACCTTGCAATTGTTTTTCCATGTGCGAGCGGTAATCAGGCGTCACAGTATAGGTGATCAAGGTGCACTGTGCAATACACTTTACTTTGAAATAGAAGAAAGCGAAATTTAAAAATGGCTCAAAAAACCCAGAAGGTAAGAGGCAAGAGAACAGTGAAAACAACCCTAATGGATATTTACTATTTGTTAAAGTGATATTAATATCCCTTTTCACTTGTTTTACTAGAACGAAATTCATATTTACACTTTGGACAAAAATACTCTGGTCACCAAGACGAGCTGTTCTCGGTCATCAGCGGTTAATGTAGTGAGTGACTTGGTGTACTCTCCAGATGGTGCTTACCTGGCTGTGGGCGATGATAACCGCAGAGTATCTGTATTTGACTCTGCTGATTATAAGGTATGACACAAGTGTATGGCACACATGCAGCTGATAGCCAGTCTTTGAGAGGCTCCCCCTACCCTTCCCCACTCCCCCCCTTTCCCCACTCCCTCCCTTTCCCCACTCCCTCCCTTGCCCACCCCCTATTTAGCCTTTGGTTTCCCAGGAACTTAAACAGCTATTGACTAAATTTATCGTTTGTTTCATTATTTTGAAGTTGAAGTTTGAGTTGACTGGACCTCAAGCTCGCGTAACTTGTGTAGCGTGGGCACCTGACTCACGGCATCTTGCCTGTGGTGGACTGGACACCAACTTGTTCATTTACGACTTAGAAAAGACCAATGCGAAGATTGAAATAAAACGTAAGCCTAGATTTCTCTAGTAACTGTTTTAATGTTCTATTTTGTAGCCTGTTCAATAGCTTTGAAAGTTTGTATTTAAGATATGTGACCCTTCACGATGACGCAAGAAAAAAGGTGACGCGTCAATTTACAGAGCATGCTCATAGTATTTTTTTGATGCCGTTTCAGGTGCTCATCCTCAAGGCATCATTTCGCGAGTTACGTGGTTGGATAATAACACACTGGCCAGTGTGGGCTTTGACTGCTGCATCCGTTTCTGGAACATAACTTACTAGATTAATTCCCACCCATCCCTCCCTCGTTTATGTTTCAATTTGTCAGCTTTGTGACTAAAGTAAACCGTAAACACTTCTTCCAGCAAACAAGTGCCATTTTGCGCCAACATTTTTTACAATGCACTTAACTATGTCTGATTATAGGAAAAAATAAGGATTCTGTTTGTTTACATTAAACTGAAGCGTGTAATGTGAATATAAAGAGTTAATATCAAAACTTTAATTTTCACCAAGTTACTTGTATCTGCTTTTCCTTTTCGTATTTCGTCGGCAGAAAAGCAGATGACATCCTCAAATAGAGCTTAGGCTGCTGAAAACTAAAAAAATTAACGGGATGGGGGTAATTTTTTGGTGGCTTCACTTTCATCTGGTCAAGTGCAGAATGAAAATGTGTCCGCAAAGATGGCGTGTTATTTGCTCTCGCGAGCCAAGTGTTCATTATAGATGTGAGGATCTGTTTTCTAGGTCACTTGAGAAACTAATTTACCCAACATCAGCAATATTCCGAACAAACTTCATTTGATTTGAATTTCAAGGCCAGTTTTGGGACGTAGGGATGGGAACTTTAGTTAAGAGTAGAGATACTTCGCAGTGTTCAGATGTTTTCACATTTGTAACTTTGTAAAACTACCCGTTAAAGACGGTGTTTTGATAATCATTTGATTAATAAAAGAAATGCTATTGAGGTTATATTATACATTATTTTGCTGTAAGTTCTAAGGAAGCAAAATAGGCCCAGCCAAGAAAAAAAAATCGTAGATACTTTTTACGGACTGGGTTCGAGATTTCTGTCTCAGTTAACACGCAGTACCCTAACATCAGTATAGGCACGTTCTCCGCACTGTACACTTTTTTTAAGTTACATCTAAGGAGAATTTGTTTAACACTCCAGAGCTTCTTTAGTTGATGAACATTTTTTTGTCCTCGTAATCTTACTTAGTGATTCAGGGCTGATATTGCATGGAAAAACTGACCAATAGATTGGTGGTTACATTCAAGGGAGAGATATTAATAGTTATGAAATGAAAACAAGGATGTTATGAAGCCAGACAGACGGTATTGGTTTCAGACTCTCGCTTTTATTCCTTAGATTGAGGTTATTAAAAATTCTTCCTTATCTGTTAAAGATAAGGCTTCGAGCTCATAACGTTACCGAGGTTTTCGAGAAAAGACGGGTTTGTTAATCCGGGTTCAATTTTAAAGCGGTCCTTCCTTGAAGTTCACAGGTCCATGGCTTTTTCCTCTTCTTCTCCCGTCCCTATCTATAGCTCGTTAAACCGTAAGAGTGATTGGCTTCTAATTTCTCCCAACAGCATCACCCTTGAATCAATTTCAAAGGTCATGAGAATGAAGGAAATGATCATCAATTTAACAAACTCCTGATTGTCAAATAAACTCTCCTCGTCAGTACTATCGGAAATGTAAAGAAAACAGTGTGTAGAGTATAAATACATAAATACTATTGTTACGATGGAGAAGGTAAAAGAATGTCTTATGATCGCTACAGGACGGAGGATAAGAAATGCAACATGAATGTGACTAAAGGTACCCATAAAAATTTGACCCATGTTTGAATCCAGCATACCTAAGGATTCGAGATATACCGAGTTGAAGCAGAGGGGTAAAGTCCACAGAAGATCAAAAGAAAACTGATTGCTAAAAAAAGAGAAAAATTCTTACACATCGTTCACTTTGGAGATGGCAAACACGAAGGAGAGGTCTGAGGAAATGTCTTTGGGAGTTCAACTTTGTGATTGAAAAGTCTTCATAATTTTTTTTCCTCTTTCTTTTGTTCTTTCTTTCATTCATTTTTGTTCGAGTCTGATAAATTCAAGGGCAACAACTGTTCCTTCAATCAGAACAGCTAAGTTAATTACCTGAGTGCTGACGGTAGGACGAGGTTGACGGCCACAGAGACATTGAGTAATCGGAAGCAGAACTATTGGCATTTAATTTCTTCTATGTTTCAGCTAACAATAACAACTTTTTAACGTATCTTGTCTGACAGGACACCGATAAAATCATCAATAAATATGTCAATTTGTATTATTATGATTATTATTATTATTATTATTATTATTATTATTATTACTATAATATTATGATCACATATAATTATTATAATTTTTGTTGCTTCATTCAAAGTTTTTTAAATTTATGCATTCTACAAATAAAATTCGTATAAAGCCTGTAAAAGGAATCTTAACCAAGGCTGGCTCTTGCCTATGCGAGCCACTAGTTTCCAGAAGGAGCAGTATAAAGCTGGTAACTGCGAACAGCACTGCGCTTTTTCTTCTTCCAGGCGAGGATCGACCCACAAGTGACACAAAAAACCACAGAAACAACAACTACAGCAGCAACGAGAGTGCTGTATGGACCTGTTATGGAGAAAGAACTTCATTAGGTTGGTATTTGCCAGAAAAATTCGCACCGTCTTATCAATAGAATCCTTTGACAGTTAGGACGGCAACGCTAAGGAAGACGTCGATTTAAAAATGAATATATATTTTTAGTCGGAATCTCGCGAATTACTGGATGTGTTTATTATGGCGCCGTAAGAGATAATAAACACATGTGGAACTTAACGCTTCTTTTATACGTTATCCTGAAGTTGGTGTGGCGCCGTATGAGACGGTAAACAAATGCAGCCATTTGTAAAATTCTAATTAAAGGCAGAAATTCATTTTTTAATCGAATTTTTCCTTGGCGTTGCCGTCCTGACTGCTTGAGGTCCCTAATCTCACAAGCGAGGCACGAAAACGTAAATCCCCACGAGTCGAACCCAGACCTCCGGAATCCGCGCCTCTACGGTGACCTGGGTTATCAATAGTTTTACATGTCACACGCATCCTGCATACAGCCAGGATCAGCAATATCGAAAGCACATCAAAATTAAATGGAACGAGAAAGATGGCAAATTTTAAATTTCGAAAGGGAATAGTTAGTGGTGTCTCGTCGTGGTAATGAAATTAAGAAAGATACATTTTCTTTTATCTTGCTTTGTTTCTTTGCCGAGCTCAAAATTTACCAATCTTCCTTACTCATGCTAGATAACGCACAGCGTGCAAAAAGTAACATGTACATGTTATATCTTATGGTGGTTAACAACAATTCAGAATAACTCGTTTTCATAAAAATTCCGATTGCAATTTAAGTCAAAGTTTCGCTATTTTTGAAGCATGAAAAGCTTACCACTACTTTGAACTTCGGTGATCTCTATTGGCTTGTCGGACTCCGTTTCATCGTCATCATCTTCTGCACGTACGAATGGTCCCTGAGCCAGGATATACTCCTCGTCATTCGTCTCCCGAGTATTCAGCGATCTCTTCCTTCTCGCTTCACGCAAACAGCCCTTTGCGCAGCGTGACTTAGGGTCTGTTGCGTTACAGATCTTGACCTTGCAGTGCAAGTACGCAAACTGATGATCACCCAAGAACTTGAACGCCGCCAGGCTAAACCTCTGACTTCTTTCATCATTTGATGGAAGGAACTTCAAGGTATCGTCTACAGCACAACTGTAAGAGACGTCACGATAATTAATTGGCGATTGCATGACACAGATCGCTATTTCAGCTGTGGGCAGTCATGGCAAGTTGAAAACAAAAATTCCACGAAAATTTTGTTATTGTATTGTCGTAACTTTTCGCAACAATTTACATACATTACAACAATTCTCAGGGTAATGACCTAATCATGGACACCGTTAATACCAAAAATTATTGAAGTGCCTATTGAGCAAAGTCATGTTACCAAAAACCGTTTTATTAAGAATGTAGTATCCATCTATAAGACACGAGTTTGAAATGTTTCATTTCAACGGAATTATCGCTCGAACAATTCAGTATCGTCTTGAATAGTGTTTTATTATCAAGTAGTAGATCAAGTAGGGGAAAGATTATGGAACAAATGGTCAGTATTGCCTGGCATCTAGTCTGCCAATGTCTCGGAAGGAAAGTGCGATGGAAGAGAAAATTTCTCGGATGAAGAGAGAATGGAGAAAAGAAATAGAGAGATGCGGCCCTTACTTGGTGTAGAAGACCCAGTTAAAAAAAAACTAGAGAAACAATAGGTTAGGTGTTCTATTATGATGTCTCTCCTGTGTCTCCTACACCAAGAAGGAGCCAGAGCTACTTGTACAAGTCATGTAAAAAACTAATAACAGAAAGCGACTTTCTCATACCCATCGCTGATGAACAAGTATTTTAATCCAGGTTTAATAGGATTAGGATCAGGTGTGCCAAAACATGTTTCGGCCAAAATCTCGAGCTTCAAGTCTTCTGTATCCACGTTGACTTCCACGTACAGAATTTTTCCCGAAGGTACAGTCACTGGAAAGTCTTCGCTTTTGTAATTGTCGATATACCTGTTATCGGGGAAGGTCTTCATTTCTAAAGCAAATTCTCCAAATCCATCTTTGGAGAGAACGATCTTTTTACTTTCGACTTTGAGAGCAACAGAGGAAACGATACCGGTGTTTGAGTAGCAACAGCTGAAGGGTATTTCAACTTCGCGCACACGCGTGATTATCGGTTGGTGTTCGACAGATATCTTCAACACCTTGTTTCTGTAACAGAAAGAATTCTTGGTATCCCTGCTCGTTGTGTGGCATTCCTTTAGTTCTGTGCGAAGAATGAAGTGAGTTTGGGTCTCTGTGGCTCCACAATTCATATCACTGAGACGGAGATGATCCACTCTTATGCCCGGAAGAAATTTCTTTGGAATGCTGATGAACATCTCGTCTTTAACACAAGTAACATTTACTCCTGAAGAAAGATCAGATATTGAATAGAAGAGAAGCAAAAAAAGCATTACTAAGAGTTACGAAGAGGCCATTATCTAAATTGAACAATGGATATATGTGTCGGGTGGAATTCAAGGCCCTATTCACACTTGGCAGGATACAGTTAGAACTCCGTACAAACTTTTCCGCTCATTGGAAAACAGATTAGAAGCTTTCAAATCCATATTAAGTTGGAAATATCTGAAGAACGACATTCACTGGCGGTAGAAACGCTTGGCTGCAATTTTGATCGGGTGCAAAAATAGAAAATCGACGTCAGTTTTGGTTTAGTGAAGACGTTAATGATAGCAGGCTACCTATTTCATGAACTTTCTATAACGCAATTTTATTGAGCGTCGTGAATTCAAAACCAAAGTAAACCAAAAGGCCAATCAGAAATTACCACCAAGAATCAATAAAAATTCGTAGTAAAAACAAACAAACTCCTTCTGGAAAACGCGAGTGACAAAGTCTAAATTGGTTTTGTTTTTTTGTTGCGTCTGATTGGCTGAGAGGATGGCGCGAATTTCCAGACCAATCACAGAGCGGAGTGAGGCTGAAACAAGAGGAATACTGGGTAAGATTTGACACTCATGATCATTAAAACAATGCTCGAGATGATACGTTACCTGGTGACTGTGTTGGTTCTATGATTGGTGGCTGAGTTGTAGGCGCTGCAAAAAGGAATAAAGAAACTTGAATTCACACACGAGCAAAAGTAAAGCCTTGATGCTGTGTTTAGGCAAGTAAAAAGAAAATTCTTACCTTCTTTGTTCCCACAATAGCGTAATGAACACGTCGGAGGCTTTCGAAGCTCGTACACATAGAAGTCGCCGCAGTTTCGGATTTTAACGCTATTTTTCCATTGACAACATCCACCTGTCCAGTGATAACAGACTTGACGAGCTACCACACCTTCTTGCAAACGTGGATGTTTACCATTAAGCCAGCCTGGAGCGTGAGTACCGCAGCGTCTCATGGGAACACATTTCTCTGGAATCTGGTCACCACTGTCTCCCGTCATACGATACCACTTT